TGTCTCTTGGACCTGCTGACTTACATTTATCCCGAATTTTCAGATGTTATATATCTCTCTTTTTATAGTAACACAAGCCTACTTACTTAGTTACTTTTTTTTCTTTATAATTTCAAGGTATACTTCTTGTTATCATTACTTTTAAACCTTCTCGATTAGCCTTTTTTTGTCTATTTCCCCCAGATTTATTCATATTTGGTTCCTTAGTTCATTTTCTTTAATTTGATAGAATTCATTTTGTTTTTTAAACTTGATCTTATCTTTTATTATCACAAATAAATCAAGCTATTTCTGAGTCATTTGCTTTAACAATTCTGAACTTTGTAAAATAGCACTGGGACATTTTTATTCTCTGCATGTGTTCTCTGTTAAACAGATTTTATTTATGTCCTTCAATTGTGATATCTTTTAAAATACCTCATCTTTTTTCATATTCTCTGTTTTGTCCAGTTCTTTTCATTGGTGGTACTCGCCAGCTTTCTTAGGCTGAGAATCATTTTTCCGATTCAACATCTGATTCTTACTGCTTTTCAGTGGGGACAGATGATTCTTTGTCTTACTAATTTTATGTTCTCAGTCATTTCTTCGCTAGCAAAAAAGGTTGAATGTGTAAGGGTTCCTTCTCTGGGTATATTCCTGAATCATAAGTTGTAATGATAATGATTTAACATCTTTGATACAGGCTGCATGGCAGATTTTTCACCTACACAGTACTTGGCAGTTTTAAGGCTATCTGAGCACCCAGTAATTTAAATCATGTGTCATAAGCCAGGGACAATGGTTCCCTTTAAGTGCAGAGGTGCTTTATTTCCTTAGTGCATTCATCCAATCCAATGGAATATGCAAATTTATTCTGTCTACCACACAAAGTCGAAACTACAGAAAGGCTAGTATTTGGACTATTTTGCTCATTTTTGACAGTTCCTGGTGGCTTTTCTAATTGTTTGTTTCCTTTTTTCTTTGACTTTGCTTTTAAACTCCAGGTGTGTCTTCTTGGCACTCGTGAGCATCTCTGTCTCCTCTGCCTTGACCTCCTTTCTCACTCCTTCTTCCACTTCCACCTGTATCTCCTTTTTCCTCACTTCGTTGTCTTTTTAAAAAATATATATTTTATTGATTATGTTATTACAGTTGCCCCAATTTTTCCCCTTTGCCCCCCTCTTCCTGGTATCCCCTTTCCCTCCAGCATTCCTGTCCTTTTTAGTTCATGTCCATGGGTCATGCATATGAGTACTTTGGCTTTTCCACTTCCTATACTGTTTTTAACCTCCCCCTGTCTATTTTGTACCTACCAATTATGCTTCTTAATCCCTGCGCCTTTCCCTCCATTCTTCCCGTTCCCTCTCCCCATTGATCTCCATTTAACCCCCTAAATGATCTCCATATCCATGAATCTGTTCCTATTCTGGTTGTTTGCTTAGTTTGTTGTTTTAGATTCAGTTGTTGCTGGTTGTGAATTTGTTGTCCTTTTAGTGTTCATAGATTTGATCTTTTTTTAAAAAAAATAAGTTCTTTTAACATTGCATGTAATAATGGCTTGGTGATGATGAACTCCTTTAGCTTTCCCTTGTCTGGGAAGCACATTTACCTGCCCTTCCATTCTAAATGATAGCTTTGCTGGATAGAGTCATCTAGGTTGCAGGTCATTGCTTTTCATCACTTCCAGTATTTCTTGTCAGTCCCTTCTGGGCTGTGAAGTTTTTTTGAGAAATCAGCTGGCAGTCTTATCAGAGCTCCTTTGTAGGTAACTCTTTGCTTTTCTCTTCTTGCTGCTTTTAAAATTCTCTCTTTATCTTTAACCTTTGGTTTTTTAATTATGATGTGGCTTGGTGTGGTCCTTTTTGGGTCCAACTTGTTTGGAACTCTCTGTGCTTCCTGAACTTGTATGTCTATTTCCTTCACCAAATTAGGGAAGTTTTCTTTCATTATTTTTTAAATTAAGTTTTAAATTTCTTGCTCTTCTTCTTCTCCTTTTGGCACCCTTATGATTCAGATGTTGGTGCTTTTAAATTTGTTCCAGAGGTCCCTAAGCCTGTCCTCATTTTTTAAAAACTCTTTTCTCTTCCTGTTGTTCTGATTGAATGCTTTCTCCTTCCTTGTGTTCCAAACCATTGATTTGATTCTTGGCTACATCGTCTCCATTGCTGGTTCCCTGTAGATAGTTCTTTATTTCACTTAATGTAACCTTCATTTCTTTCCTTATGTTTTTGCTGTACTCAGTGAGTTCTTTGAGCATCCTGATCACCAAACCAGTGTTTCGAACTCTGCATCTGATAGGTGGTTATCTATCTTTCATTTAGTTCTTTTTCTGGGCTTTTGTTCTGTTCTTTCATTTGGGCCATATTTCTCAGTCTTCTTAATTCAGCAGCCTCCCTGTATTTGTTTCTGGGTGTTAGGTAGAGCTGCTGTAGCAGGGTGGGCGGAGCCTTAGGGAATCACCAGGGTGGGAAGCCCACATCACCACTTTGTGATGCTGTGTGTGGGAGGGACTCCGGAGAGGCGGCAGTGCCACCGCCTGGCTTCGGGAGGTTTGCCTGGCGTCCCACTTCCAGTCACTTCACCCACTTCCCCTGTGTGACTGGTGCCCTTCTAGGCGTTGCTCTGGTGGTGAATTCCAGAGAGGGGGGATTTGTGTATGTCCTAAGTCTGTGCAGGCCCTTTAAATGAACTCTTCTGAAAGTCCAGCAGTTTCCAACCCCCACTGGTTTTTACAGCCAGAAGTTATGGGGAATTATCTTCCCAGTACTGGAACCCTGGGACATGTAGTCTACCCTGGGGCTGGGATTGCTCACTCCCAAGGCAGCCCTCCCAATTTTTGTCCACCACACGTGAGTGTGGGACTGCCCGTACCACTGCCACCACCTCTCCACGCCACACCGAATCTCTGTGCCTCTCTGCAACTCTGCCCCCTCCTACTCATCTGGATGAATGTAACTTCTTTAAATCCTTGGTTGTCGGACTGCCATACAGCTCAATTTTATGATGGTTCTGGTTACTTGCTTTGAGAAATAGTTGTAATTCTCTCTGTGGTCATGTGAAGAGGCAAAGCATGTCTGCCTACTCGTCCATCTTGACCGAATTCCCTCACTGCCTTTTCTGTCACCTGTGTCTGTAATTTAGATCACATTCCATAATAGTTCATTTCTTTAGCAAATATAGGTAGGATTCAGCCAATGGGCTAGGGTAGTGCTGTGTTGTTGCTTATGTATAATGCATTTCTCTATAAACCAGTTCAGCAGATACTGTGTTGATTTTTTTAAATCTCTCATCTCAAATTACTGGAAAGCCGAGATTGGCAAAAAAATATGTTTGACTTTCTAGCCTGATATTTTCTAGTAGTTTCTTCAAGGACACCGGAAATCTGGGTAGGTTTTTATAGAGGCATTTGAGATTCCTAGACTTTATTTATTTATTTATTTATTTATTATGTTTTATTGTTCAAGTACAGTTATCTCCATTTTCTGCCCACCACTCCCCCCTCCCTATCCATTTCCACCTCCCACCCTCAATCCTACCCCCTTTGGCTTTGTCTATGTGTCCTTTATACATGTTCTTTGATAACACTTCCCCTCTCCCCTCCCCTGTGGTTACTGTCAGTTTGTTCTTTATTTCAGTGGCTCTGGTTATATTTTGCTCACTTGTTTGTTTTGTTGATTAGGTTCCACTTACAGGCGAGATTATGTGGTATTTGTCTTTCACCACCTGGATTATTTCACTTCAAATAATGCACTTTAGTAGCTACAACTTTTCACATCTCTCTTTCTCTCAGCCTTTTTAATAGTTTAGATGGAAATAGGGAGATAGAGAACACAAGCCCTGTAGCGTCCCTTGTTTTAAGGGTACTAATTCCAACACACCAGGACCTCACCATCCTCCTGACCTCATTAACCCTAGTCACCTCCCAAAAGCCCACCTCTAAACACCATCACACTGGGCATTAGAGCTTCAACATTATGAAATTGAGGGGACACAAACATTCAGCCCATAACAGTGAGTATTGCTGAAAACATTAGTTACCAAAATGCCATTTCACAAGTCTACACGAAGAGAAAAATAAGTGCAGTAATAGCTTCTGAAAATGGGACTGTTTCTCTCTGGTCCAAGTTAGTGGTAGGAATTTATACCCACATTTCTTCAATTATTTCTTATTTTTCCTACTTGGCAGATTTGTCTTATTTCATCAGTCACGTTATCCATTCTCATGTTTTATACTATCTGACCTCCCATGTTACCTTTATATTTTTCCATTTCTCTAACCTCAAAGTCAAATGTCTTGTTCTCAGGTGACGTTCCCGGTCATCATTCAGAAAGGGAAATAGCATAGATTATTTGGGGGCTCCGTGAGGTACACAGCACATTATTTTTATCTTTGTGGGGTTCCCGGGGCTGTCATCCTTGATCCCAGTTTCTGCAAGTCCAGCAGCCTAAGTATTTCTCACATTATAGCCTTTTGGTCACAGCTCTTTTATGTGTCACTGGTGGCACTCATCTGAGTTTTTTTTTCCTCAAGTTCTAAAACATCCCATAGCCCAACTTTTTCATCTGGGCCAGTATAGATTGCTCATTGTTTTCTGTCTTATGTCTCACTTCTATTCTTCCTTCCCTGGTGCTGAAAAGAATACAGCACTGAAATAAACACACAAGTTTACATTGAGGATTGTTTCAGATTTTTTCCCTTATTCCTGAAAATACCACATGTATTCTAAACCAAGATTAGGAGTACTAGCTTAGAAAGACATGTGGACATCTTTCTTTTTTTCCTGTGTGTGACTCTCAACCCACGCTATCTTCCTCCTCTTCTGTTTTCTTGCCGTTGAGTTTACTAGCGCGCATCTATTTCCCAGGGTTTCAAGTTAAGAGGTTAATTACAGAAAATGGGCTTTGGACTTGAGCTTATACATATTTGGAAAGATAATGATGTTGGGGCACTGAATAGAAGGAAATGAAGAAAGATAATGAAAACGGTTTTCGTGTTTCTTTTTGTTTTCCCTTCTTTGTAGCGTTCCCGTCCACACTCTGCCAGTGACGCGGAGATGAAAAACCTCGTGGGTTCAGCCCGGGAGAAGGTGCCGGGAAAGTTAGGTGGTTCTGTGCTTGGTCTTTCAATGGAGGAGGTAAGGATAACTCCATTTCAGGCTTTTGTGGGTTAACACAGGGCTTGGTGAAAATTAGCAAGTTATTAATAATGTTCATGACCAACTCCTATGTTATACTGAAAAGAGAAAGACTCAAAATGGGGGGAACCTCTTCTCAGGAAATAGCATCTTAAATGTAATTAATTCTTCCTCATGCTTTCTCATATTCTTGGGTCGTAGCTCTCTTCTGTCCTATAACCACATGGATTGCAATCTTCAAAATAGGTACTCATCTTATTTTTCTCTTTCTCCATGTAGATCAGAGTTTTACGGAGGGTGAAGGAAGAGAATGATCGGAGAGGTGGATTTATTCGCATATTCCCTACATCAGAGACATGGGAAATATATGGGTGAGGTGACTACCTATTTTTTTTTACTTCAATCTGTACTTCAGGTCCACACAATTGGATAAAATGTGACATAGTGCCATCATTGCTTCCCATGTGATACCTTTCTTATTTTGTTTATAAATTTTGTGTTTATCAATGCCTTGTTTTAAAAAAATATTGTTTTATCTTCTATATGTGTGCCTAAACAGTATGTTGTTTATTTTTAGTCATTGAGATCTGGTGTACAATGCAATAAAATGCACCCATTTTAAGCGTACAATTTGGTGATGAGTTTTAACAAATATGTATTAACACTCACTTAACCATTGCTAGCTATCTCCACAATCAAGATATTGAACTTGTCCATCACCTCCAGAAGCCCCTCAAGCCTGTTTACAGTCAGTCCCCCTCATTTCCTCAAGTATGAGACATATACTGATCTGCTTTATGTTAGTCTAGTTTTTCTAGGATTTCATGTAAATGGAATCATACAATTTATAGTCCTTGGCATCAGGAGTTTTTTGTTTGGTGCAGTGTTTTTGAGATTTATTCATGTTGTTTAAAGTAATAGTTCATTCCTTATCTTTGTTATGTACTGTTTCAGTAGATGAATGTACCACAACTTGTTGATTCATTCAGCTGTTGTGGATCATTGGGTTGTGTCTTGTTTGGGGCTATTATGGAGCAAGCTGCTATGAACATGCATGTACAAGCTCCTGTATGGATATATGATTTTATTTCTCTTGGATAAATACCTAGGAATAGAAAAGGTGGGTCACATGATAAGGAATAAATGATAGTATGTGGTACCATTTTATATTTTATCAGTATTCCAGTTGCTCCCCATCCTTGTCAACACTTGTGATTGTCAGGCTTTTAATTTTAGGCATTCTACTAGTAGCATATCTCTGTGGTTTTAACTTGATTTTCTGTGGATAATGATACTGAGCATTCATGTACTATTGGCTATTTGTGTCTTTTTTTCCATTTTAAATTTAGGATTTTTTAGTCTTTTCATTATTTTGTTATAAGGGACTTTTGGGGGGGAGTCTCATGTAATTTATTTTTTAAAATATATTTTATTGATTATGCTATTACAGTTGTCCCATTTCCCCCCTTCATTCCACTCTACCCTGCACACCCCTCCCCCCATATTACCTTCCTTTAGTTCATGTCCATGTGTCATAAGTTCTTTAGCTTCTACATTTCCCACACCACTCTTGCCCTCCCCCTATTTTCTCCCCACCGTCTATGCTACTTATTCTCTGTACCTTCTCCCCCCTTTTCCTCCTCCCATTCTCCTGTTACTAACCCTCCATGTGATCTCCATTTCTGTGACTCCACTCCTGATCTACCTGTCCACTTAATTTGCTTTTGTTTTAGGTGTGGTTGTTAATATCTGTGAGTTTGCTGTCCTTTCACTGTTCATATTTTTTAACTTTTTTTTTTAGATAAGTCCCTTTAACATTTCATACAATAAGGGCTTGGTGATGATTAACTCCTTAACTTGACCTTATCTGTGAGGCACTTTATCTGCCCTTCAATTCTAAATGAAAGCTTTGCTGGATAGAGCAATCTTGGATGTAGGTCCTTGCCTTTCCTGACCTGGAATACTTCTTTCTAGCCCCTTCTTGCCTGTAAGGTCTCTTTTGAGAAATCAGCAGACAGTCTGATGGGAACTCCTATGTAGGTGACTGTCCCCTTTATCTCTTGCTGCTTCTAGAATTCTCTCCTTCATTTTAATCTTGGCTAATGTAATGATGATGTGCCTTGGTGTGTTCCTCCTTGGGTCCACCTTCTTTGGGACTCTCTGAGCTTCCTGGACTTCCTGGAAGTCTGTTTCCTTTGACAGATTGGGGAAGTTCTTTTTTATTATTTGTTCCAATAAGGTTTCCACCTGTAACTCTTCCTCTTCCCCTTCTGGTACCCCTTTAAACGTTCGGATGTTGGAATGTTTAAAGATGTCTTGGGGGTTCCTAAGCCTCTCCTCATTTTTTTGAATTCTTGTTTCTTCATTTTCTGTTTGGTTGTTTCTTTCTTCCTTTTGGTCCACTCTATTGATTTGAGTCCCAGTTTTCTTCCCATTGCTATCAGTTCCCTGTGCATTTTTCTTCATTTCACTTAGTGTAGCCTTCATTTTTTCATCTAATTTGCCACCAAAATCAACCAGTTCTGTGAACATCCTGATCATTAGTGTTTTGAACTTTGAATCTGATAGGTTAGCTGTCTCTTGGTCGCTTAGAAGTATTGACTCTGGGGCTTTGAAGAGTCAAAGCCCCAGAGTCAATACTGTTCTGTTTGAGCCATAATATTTTGGTCTGTTTGCGCCTGTTACGTATGAGGGGCAGAGCCTTAGGTGTTCGCCAGGGCGGGGCCACCCAGCCGCTGGGTTGTGATGCTGTATGTGGGGGCGGGGTCAGAGAGGGAGAAATGGCGTTTGTTCCTCTCTCTTCTCTCTCTCTCTCTCTCTCTCTCTCTCTCTCTCTCTCTCTCGGATTTCGGTCTCCTCTCCCGCTTCTGACAAGCAAATTGGGCCCTTCTGGCCTTGGTCCCCGGCCAGGGACCGGGTGGGTGGGCTTGTGTATGTTCTAGGACCCTGTGGGTCTCTCCGACAACTCTCCTGTGAGGCTGGGAGCCTCTCCTGGCACCTCAACCTCCAAAAGTTTTTCCAAACGGTGTTTTTAGACTATTTCCTGTCACTGGGGCCCTGGGTTGCGTGCTTTGTCTCACTGCCCTTTTCTTTTTTGTGGTTTATCTGCGCGCGAATGTGTGACCGCGGTCAGTCAGCCGCCTTGTGCGCCTCACAGGGTTTGCTCCCTGAACCCGGGTCTGCCAACCACCACCTCTTCCTGCCGGGACCCCTCTCTGCCAGCTGCTGACTCCTCCCCTCTTACTGGTCTGGACGAATGGTTCGTCATTGTTGGACTTCCGTACAGTTCGATTTTCTGTCTGTTCTGGTTGTGTTTTTGTTTCTCAATCCTTGTTGTCCTTAAATTTGGTTGTGCGAGGAGGCACAGTGTTTTCACCTACGCCTCCATCTTGGCCGGAAGTGTTATAAGGGACTTTTGATCCAAGTCCTTTCTCAGATATTTATGTTGTGAATATTTTGTTCAAGCCTGTGGCTAGATTTTTCACTTTTGTAACAGTGGCTTTTAGAGAGCAGAAGTTTAAAATTTCAGTGAAGTCTAGTTGTCTACATTTTTATTAATATATATTTATTGAGTGTTAACCAAGGGTCTAGCACTTTGCTTGGTGCCTTGTAGTATAAAACAAATATTACATGGGATCTCTGTTCTTTGAGAGTGAACAGGATGATTATGGAGAAGTTATTTCAACTTATAATAAAAATAGCTCAGATTTCTGTAGCTCTGTGTAATTATAACATTTTATACACGTCATTGTTATTCTCATTTTAACAGTGAGGAAAGTAAGGGTCAGTAAAGTGATGTAACTTGTTTGTGATGTCACAATGGGACTTGAGTCAAAGATTTTGACTCTAGATCCTGCCTTTCTCCTGCTTCATCATGCTGTTTCCCAAGAAGAAACATCTCACTCAGCAAGACAATGTACGACCGTCCTTCAGACATACAGTAAAGGCCAGCACAGTTCAGACATGGGCACCTCTGTAGACTTAGAGCAGTCCCGTCAGGAAGGCTTCAGGCAGCAGGGTGGGCTGGAGCTGCTTCTGGAGGACTAGATTATGAAGGATGTCCAGATGGAAGCCAAAGGACCAGGGAGGGGTGTGGTGTGAGAGGGTGTAAGGAGACTTGTCAGGCCGAGCTGCAGAGTCCGTCTCACAGAACCCTGGGGATAGAGCGTCAGTGAACTGGTAGTAGATTGTTCACCTTTGGAAAGCTGGGAGGAGAGAGTGCGTGCCTCTAGCAACAGGCATGAGGGAGCCATTGAAATCTTTTTGAGGAATACTTTGATGGAACAATCTTCTGTCTACATTTTCATGTTTTTACACCTCCATTCCCAGCTTCATCTGACCTTTTTCCCCAGCTATGTGATTTTTTGGTGGTTGCTTTCTTTTTATTTTCCAGTTTTATTTTCCGAATGTAGTATTTCACCTCTTAATAATCCAGGAAATCCTGCATTTATTCCTTATTTTCTAAATTAAGTCCTCTATTCATTTTATTATATTTGCTACTACTCTAGTATTTGATCGTTTTAATTAGAGTAGTGCCTCTTTGCCACTTTAGAAACAGTGCATTAGTAACTTGTCACTTCTGTGCTGGATTCGTGGTTTTATTTCTATGTTTTCTGTCTCCCACAGGCTTCGGAAATAACTGGTTTCTTTCTTTGTCTCTCAGGTCCTACCTTGAACACAAGACCTCCATGAACTATATGCTGGCCACACGTCTTTTCCAGGACAGGTAGGGATTTGCTATTCTTACAAATTTGGTAGGACTAGATCATAAAATTGGGAAATAGTACATGCAAATGAAGGAAGAAGCTTTACAAAAGTCTTTGTGTAAAATTTTTGATAGAAAAGGCCTTGAAGAAAACATGACATAACTAATTTTTCCAGGATTCATTCACTCCCAGCATTTAGTAACATTTCCAGGGGCTGAGAATGTTAAACTAATTGAGTTGCTTTTATGTAGAGTGTTTATCTACTGACAAATATGCCTTTTTATTAATATATTTATTGGGAGTGAACCAAGTATGTAGCATATTGCTTGGTGCTTTGGAATGTAAAGCAAATATTAGATAGGATTGAAGCATAACAATGTATAAGTTTTAAAGATCTTTTCATTTTAGAAGTTGCACCATTAAGATCTTTAGATAATCTTAATAGGCGCCCTAAACTGTATCCTCTGTAAAGGAAGGCCCCTACTTGGTGCTTTTTGACTTTAGACAGCAAGTAACAGACGTGACCCTCTTTTCCCAGACTAAAGAGATTAGAGCAACCAGATTAGAAAAGGTGGAGGGGAGGTAATTCACAAAATAAATACACTGAGAATTGTAAGAAATGACAACTGATAACCTCAACACGAGGGGAAATAGGGGGAGATGATGGAAAACAGACATTGGAATTCAAATGGCACAGCGATCACAGACTGCTTAGTCCCACACGCTTTTGCTGCCCCCGAGGCATAGCTGCATTACAGTAACTGACAGGACGTTACAGTAACTGCATTACAGTAACTGACGTAGCTGCAGTTCAGTAACTGACTCACACAATATGGTGCCTTAGTTATTTAGGGAAAACTATATTAGATTCAGGGTACATGTTTCTTTTTGCAGGATTCTTAAAATAGAACCCAGATTTCAGCCATTTCTTGCAATTTCATGATCTGTTATCAAGAAATGTATGGGATTTGCAATTTCTCTCTGTAAATTTGTAGTTATTGCCATTGCTTAATTACACTGTGCAGCTTCTAATGAAAAGAAAGTTTCAGATTTACTTAGAAGACACAGAAACTGTTTTGTATAAGCCTCTTCTATCTTTAGAGTTCATGTATTTTACCAAGATGTGTTTTGGCATGTTACTTTGCAACACTTTGGATTTGCAGTGCATGATGAGTCCTTTCAGCTGCAAGATTTAAGTCTTTGAACTGTAGGAAATGTGTCTCCTGTCCTTGTGGGACTTTTGATAGGTTGGGCTTCTGCAATGTCCTCTGTAGTTCTTCACTTTTTCTCATACTTTTGATGTCATTGTCTCTTAGCTATAAATGCTCGAAGACTTTTTGAGCTTTGCCTCCTAAAACCAAATAAATCTAAACTCTAAAACCTTCAGCCTTATCTATTTTGTTATTTAAGACTAGCACAGAAGGGGGTTGTTCAATTTATTTAGGCAAGTATGATTTTAATATCAAAGAATCATTTTTGCTTTCTGACTAGTTCTCATAGTTTATGGATGTAATATCTTTTCACATCTCTTTGACTGTCTTGATTAGTTTGTTTAATGTTCCTTTGTGGTTTTTCTTTTTCTTTCTTTTTTTTTTTTTTTTTTGCCTTGTATTAACTTCTTCTGGATTAGTACTGTTTGTTCATGTCCTTCTTTCTAGTTTATACATTATATATCCTCCAGTATTTGGTGGTCTTTGATTTCTAGTCATAGTTGTGAGTAATGGGCAGGCTGCTTGGGGCAGGCAGGTTGCAGGAGCTTCCTCCCAGTTGCCTGGGTCTGTTTCTGCACTGCCCTGGGCTCTGTGCTTGCGGCCAGGTCTTTCCGTATGTGGCCCTCCCTCCAGGGAGAAGGAAGGCGGAGCACCACAGGAGCCCTAGCAGTGGGCCTAGGTCCACCATAATTTCAAAAGTATAAGTGTTAGCAGTGTTTTGAGATACCTGTTAGCAACTCAAGAGTAATATGAAAACATATGTTAATTCTTTTGGTATTGAAATCACACTAATACTAAGAGGATGGTTTCCTACATGTATGTGAAAGAAATGCCAAATTTAGTTAAGAAGTTTACTATTTTTCTCTGTTCACTTCCTGAATTCTTTCTTCGGGCCCTATTTAACACTTCTGTATTCTAAAGACTCGGATTAAAAACAGCAATAACAACAACCCTGAATTTCCCTGTTTAGCAGAGAAAGCCCTCATGATCTACTCTCGACTGTGTTTTTAGCCTGATCTCCATTGCCCCACGGCCCAGGGCCAACCAGACCACGTCTGCTTGCTCTTCGGTGCCTTTTTGTCCTCACACGCGCCAGCCCCTTAGAATGACCTTCAGTCCACCCTTACATTCTTTTCTTTAAAATGCAAAACGATTTTTTTTAACTTGACAAGGGGTTTCTTCTAGAAAGGAAAATTCGGTTTAACGTTTGAAATTGAATCAACATATTTTACCTTATTAACAAAATAAAAGAGATGTAATACCCATTCATGGGAAAACTATTGCAAAGTAAAAGAAATCTTTGTTAACCAGAAAAAATATCTGCAAGAACCTTAGAGCAAATGTGACACTTGATATTTGCTGAAAACTTTTCTCTGATATTGGGAATGGAATACAAGTTTTAGACTCAGTTATGTAACTGTTCTTACTAATGGAGTTAGATCTCATTAGGAAAGTTAATATGCTCTGCAAATTAGCATTGCAAATTCAAAAACCAGGAAAAAATAACAAGAATAAAACATTCACTTATGTGTTCTTTAAAACTAAGATTAGAAAGGTTACTTTTTCTCATAGCAGGGTATTTAGTAAAATTAAAGACGTTTTGGATTCCTACTACTTCTGAACTTTCTAGCATTTTTTCCTTTTTTTCTGTTAAGAGAGTATTTCTCTTGTCACTAAATCTGTTTGCAAAAAATTTTAGATTTTATTTATTTACTTTTAGAGAGAGGTGAATGGAGGGAGAAAGGGATAAAAACATCAGTGTGTGGTTGCCTCTTGTATGCCCCCTACTGGGGACCTGGCCTGCAACCCAGGTACGTGTCTTGACTGGGAATTGAACTGGTGACCTTCTGGTTCATATGACCTTCTGGTTCATAGGCTGGCACTCAGTCCACTGAGCCACACCAGCCAGGGCTCACTAAATCTTTATATTTTTAAAATTCTATCTCCCATGTATACCTTATGTTTTTGAAGTTTATGTTGCTATCTATGTCTTTCTCATTATAAGAACAATTTTATGATCTAAGCCAGGGGTGTCAAACTCATTTTCACTGGGGGCCACATCGGCCTTGCGTTTGCCTTCAAAGGGCTAAATGTAATTTCACCTTCTTAACAGTTGAAGAGTAGTTATTTGTATACAGTCCTAAAATTACACTGGGCCTTTTGAAGGCAGCTGCGAGGCTGCTGTGGCCCCTGGTGAAAATGAGTTTGACACCCCTGATAAGCTTTCTAAGCTAATAGTGATACAAATTTCTCATCCATTATAAAGTAGGTATATTTTTATTAGCTAATTTAAAAGTCAAATGATTCAATCAATTCAGTTCTTCTAAATCTTTGATCTGTTTGATCTAACTACCTGGTAAGTTAAGCAGCAGTGCTTACTACTACTTTTTCTCAATCCATGTTTAAGTCTCTCGTTGGCATAATTGTTTAGGAAGCAGTCTTGGACATTTCTGAGGAGCTCGTTTTTTCAAGTTTTGGGTTAGGCAAGCACCTGTGATGAAACCTCATGGAATGATGCCCTGAAGTGCAGTCTGGCTTTCCAAATTATGGTGTTCAGTAGCTGTGCTTCTCCATGATAGCCATTCATGTGGTATAACTTAGAGTTAGGGCCTTAAAGTTATTCCAAGATTCTGTCAAGTGAGTGAAGAGGCCACTCCACATTGCTGTGCGTGATGGGCAGCAGACTGGAGCGTTTGTGTAGGCATCCAGAAAGGAAGCACCGTGAGCTCGGATGAAGTTGATAAAAGGCAGTCTCACTACCCGACTTCCTGGGCAGAATGTTAGCCTTTCTTCAAAGGAGTCGCTCGTAACCGGCACCACACGAGGTGCACGGGCCGAGCCTGAGCTGCTCCCCACTTCTTCCCACCAGTCACGGTAACTGGCACAGTCAGTGCTGCTCTGCCGATACACTCATCTCTAAATTTTTTTCCCAGGTATGCCCTGCATCCTCTTACCCGGACCAGAAGGAAGTTCTCCCAACCCTTTTTATCCCTCAGTCTGATTTAGATTCCCATGATCTATAATAATTGCCTGTTTCCTGGGCAGTCTACTTCACATGTTGACTTATAAGAATGAATATTTGGATATGTTCATTTTTGTCAGTAGCAGGAATCTACCCCATGGTAGGCACACACAAAAAAACAGGCATCGGAAAAATGGAAAAATTGAAATTGCTTATCACACGTGTCCTGGCATCTTCCAGTACGTCTGTTCTCTTCGGTCTGAATTGACGTTTTCCCTCCTGCACACTCCATTGTATTATTGTCAGAATTTCTTTCAAACTAATTCTTTACTCATTTCTTTAGGTTAATTTTGTCCGACTTTCCTGCCCTCCTTCACTCCTTCACCTACCCCCCTGCCCTGGCAACAGTGTTTCCCATACTTTATTACAGGACGGCCAGCCGCGCTTTAACATCTGGAGGCCTTGTATGTAAACCATGTCTCTCTCCTGGCCCACCCCCAGACTGAAGTATTAGTCCTTACTAAAAAAGCCGCCTAGGAGATGCTAATATGAAGCCAGGATTGCAGATTAGTGGAGAAAACCATTATCTGATGAAAGTTAAAAGCATCTTAAGACTCTTGATGACAATGTGACAATATCAGGACATTAGCATGAATAGAAGGCATGAGAAGGGAAAGACAAAACATTTTGGTGAAGACAAACCTTCACTTGATTTTTCTAAAGATAGTAAATCTTGGTATTGATTGTATCTGTGTCTTTAAAAAAAAACACCCAATACCAGAGGTTACATGCTGTGCGTGAGGTCTCATTAATGTAACACACTGAAATAGTACACTTTTAGAATGGTGAGCAGAGTGCAGGGAGTGGGGGTGGGGCCGGGTAAGAGGTGTGTTGTCACCAAAGGGTGACACGGGGGATCCTTATGGTGATGGAACTGCCGGGTGTCTCGTCAGTGGCGTGGGATACATCAGCTTGCACCCAGGTAAAGTTGTGCTGAACTAAATGAACACATTTACAAATGTGTACAAGTAACACTGGGGAAATTTTGAAAAGAGTGTTAGGTGAAAGGCAATTGAATGAGAAAATATTTTTAAAGAAAAACAGAAACCAGTTTAAACATGAGTGGCATTCACTTCCTGTGGTTAGAGTGGTGGGGAGCGTCACTCGTGGGAAGTCTGTTTCTCGTGAGCAGCCTTTGGGACTCCCGAGAACTGAGACTGGTTTCTCCTCCTCACACAGTTCAGTGAAAGTATGAAGAGCGCCGGAGGGTGAGACCCAAGCCCTGGGTTCAAATTTAAACCTATAAAGCTCCGACCTTGGGCTTGTCACAAAATGTCTCTTTATAAATGGGGCTGATCATAACCTTCACATGACTGTCGTGAAGAATAATGTGACTCGATTTGTGATTAGATGTACACAAGCAAGTAACTGCTAGGATTTTTCTGTAAAATTCATTGATTCTATTCCCTTTATGTTTTACTGATCCTCCCTCAAGCTCAGGGTACTCTCTCCATTTTCTCAGCTTGTTCTCAATTCATCTCTCTGCTTCTCCCCCAAGATGCCTTCCATGGCGTAATTCCACACTGAATCTCTACAGTACTCACTTCGGATGTGTGTGTGCATGCATGTGTGAACTCAGGAAAGAATATCTGCACAGCGCTCTAACCCACTTGTCCTTTCTGCTTCTGTAGGGGAATCCCAAGAAGAGGCTTATTGGCAGGAAGAACACGGTAACTGACTTTTAAAAGTTGAGCAGTTTCTTACATGTGCATAATACGTGACCATGCACAGACTAGGCATGATGCGTCATATAAATATTTTCAGTTTGGCTCAGCCTGACTTGTAACATAAAAATGTTTTCTATTGAAACACTATTCTGTGGCAACTTTTCACAAACGAAGTTTGGGATTTATGATGTACTTATAACTAACTACAGGTATATCATTTCAACTGATAATAATAGTATTCATATATTTGGCAATGAAAGAGACCAGAGTATTAATGAGAGTTCAAGTATACCCATGTTAGATTCAAATAAGAGGTTATTTTGGCTTTGACATACCTTGGTCTCTGCGCCTTGTGGGATTGAATAGAACCGCTTCCAATTTGCCACGGAACTAAAAGTATGCAGAGTCCTGTGGCTGTTCACGTTTGGCAGAGCAGAGAAAGGTCTCGGGAGGAGGCTCTGGGTGGCCTTACACCACTGAAAACTCCATCCACAGCAAAAACTCCTGACCCTTAACACGCACCCTCTGATTGGAGACACTGCATCCTTCCCTTCATTTTGTATCTCTTTAAAAAGCAGAATGAGAACATCTGGCTTTTTGTTCTACATTTGAAAACTTTGTTTCTCATCCAGATTCGTTGAAGCATAGATCTATGTTTTCTTTAAAAAATGAAAACTAATGATTGCCACTAAAGAAAAATCAAGCTTGTTTCCTAAATGAAAGTCACACTTAGTTTTGTAAGTTTTCTCCAGTTTTTAGTCAAGGAATGTGCTTTCTAGAGCATTTGCTATTAATCTGGAAATTGGAAAAGACAAAACAAGAAAAAAGGTAAAATATTAAACAATAAGAATATTTAGAGACCAGTGAGTTCTGTCTTCTGTGCGTTTCCTGCCACTCACTTTATGTGGCCACAGTAGGGTTCATCAGGTGGCGCAGAGTCCGAGCAGGTGGAAGGTGGTGGGACAGACCACACGCCAGGGCGAGACACCCGTCTCAATGCGCGAAAAGGGTTGGAGTCACGTGTGTGTTCCTCGACCACAGTGGAATCAGAGAGCAGCAGCAGTAGAAACTCTCCAGATATTTAGTAATTAAACAGCACATTTCTAAATAATCCACGGGTGAAGGAAGACACCATGAAGGAAATTAGAAAAATTTTGAACTGAGTGATAATAAAATATAAAATTAAAATGTGCGGGATGCAGCTAAGGGAGGGTTTTAAGGGAAATTTGTCTTCAGAAGTTTATATTGGAAAACAAAGGCCTGAGTCACTGATCTGATGTCTACTTTATGAAACTGGGAAAAAGAAGAGTTACCCAAAGTAAATAGAAAAAAGGAAACAATAAAGGGCATATATCAAATAATTTTTTTAAAACCCAACAATAAATAAAATTAATAAAATTTAAAAATTTTTATTGATAAGGTAGCAGAATTGATCAACTCTTATGTAGACTGATCTAGAAAAGAAACAGAGAACACTAATTACCAATACGAGGTAGGAAAGAGGGATATCACTGTAGATCCTACAGACATACAGAAAAGGAAATATTATTAACAACCTTATTCCACTGCTTTGACAACTTAAATAAAATGTCTGAATTCCTGTGGGGAGGGAACACTTAGCAAAACTGGTGTAAGCCAAAATAAAAATTTTGAATAATCTTATACCTGTGTGGAATATTGACTTTGTAATCAAAAGTTTTCTTCCTACATAGGAAACTCCGGGCTCAGTAGTTTCACTGTAGTTCAACTACCAAACATTTGAGGAAGAATACCGGTCTGACACAAACTCCTTCAAAAGTCCAGGAAGGGACACTTCCCAGTTTGTTTTATGATGCCAGCATAACTATGACATCAAAATCCGACAAAGGCATTTTAGAAAACCACAGGCTAATATCTTCATGAGCATAGACATGGAATCTTTTAAAAGAGTATTAGCAAATAGAATCCACCAGTGTATAAAAAATAATAATACATTTGACTAAAGTGAGATTTTTCCTAGTAATGCAAAGTTAGTTTGACATTTGATTGATTAGTCAATATAATGTATTATACTAAATAAAGGAAATAACCCAGATGATCATTTTATTAGCTGCAGAAAGAAAGAGGAGATTTCATCAGATTTCATCTGATGAAATCGAGTACATTTGTGAGAAAAACTCGTAGCAAATCAGGAACAGAAGGGAACTTTTTTAATCTGACAAAGGCTTTCTATGAAAAAACTATTTCTGACATCACTAAATGGTGAAATATTGAAGACTTTCCCCCTCTGAATAAGGTAAGGTGTCTACTCTCACCTCACATACCTCTTTTGTACTAGAGGTCCTAAGCAGTATAATAGAGCAAAAAGAGGAAAGCGTTGCATGTTGGAAAGGAGGAAGTTAAGTGTCTGTGTTCTTGGTGACATAATCAGGTCAGTAGAAACCCCAAGGTATCTACAGAGTATCAGAACATATAGCTGCACTTAGCAAGGTCTTGGGATACAAGGTCAGTATATTAAAAAATTTTAGTATACTAGCAGTAAATAATTGGAAAGTGAAATTTAAAATTCTATTTATAATAGCACTTTAAAATATAAAGCTCTTAGGGGTAAATTTAGCAACAACATATATATATACTATAAAACCTACTAAATATATTGAAAGAGATTTTAAAAGATCTAAATAAGTGGAGAGAATTAATATTGTAAATATCATTCTCTCCAAAGTGGTCTGAAGATCCAGTGCAATCCCAGTTATTACCAAAAGTTTTTTTTTGGTAGAAATTGACTTTTTAAAAATTTACATGGAAATGAAAGAACTTAGAATATCCAAGGTAATCTTGGAAAAGACTTGGAGTATCTGAGTTATAGAAATTCTGTAATGATATAGTAATCAAAACTGTGGTATATTGATTATTAGAACAGAGTAAAGAACTCAGAAATAGACTAATATTTATATGGTTGTTTATATGGTAAACCAGTGGGGAAAGGAAACTTTAACAAATGGGGCTGATATTTTCAAAAATGAAATTCAACCCTTATCTCAAAAATTTGAGATGATTCATAGACAAACACAAAAGCTTTTACTCTAAAACTTCTTGAGAAAAATATCTGTGACTTTGGGTTTGGCAAAAGTTTTTAGACATGATACAAAAAGCAATAAACAAAAGGAAATAAAGGATAAGCTCAGTTTTCTCAAAATTACAAACTTTTATTTATCATAAGATACTGTTAAGAAAATGACCAGGCTGGTCATGGAAAGGAAGACCCGTGAATAGCCCATGTGCCATGAGAGTGTGCCTAGTAGCAACATTCGTTATCGGAGAGTTGCAAATTAAGTCCTGAGGTATCACTAAACACCCAGCAGAATGGGTAAAATTGTATCAAGTCATCCTTGTACATTTTAAATGTCTCACAGTTTTATTTGTGAATTACACCTCAGTAAGCCTGGTGGTGGAGGAGTGACTGACAATATCAAATGGTGAGGATGTGTAGCTAATGGAAGGAACTCTTATAAATTGTTATTGGCAATATAAACTGGTATGAGCACTGTAGAAAGAGTCTGGCTGCTCGTTAGAAACCCCAGAAATTTTCATTTGGAGATCTTTACCCAGGAGAAGTAAAAAATATAACCACAAAATAACTGTGCAGAAATGTTTATGGCCACTTCATTCATGATATTTCAAAACTGGAAACAAGCTAATGTCTAGCAATGGGAGAGTGGGAGAACTATGGATGATTCATACAACAGACTAATCCTCAGGAATAAAAAGGGATCAACAGTGATACTACAGCATGGGTGAATCTCAAAACTGTGCTGTATGAAAGGAAACATACACACAAGAGTTCATACTGTATGATTTCACTTTCATGAAGTTCTAGAACAGGCACACCTAAGTACGCAGTGGAGAAATTTCAAATGGTGGATTTTTGGGGGGGTGTGAGAGGGATAGACTGGGAAGGGCCACGAGACGTTCTGAGGGGGTGGATGGTAGTGGCATCTGTCATCACTCAGCAGCTGGGAATTTAATATTTGGGTATTTAACTGTGTGTAGTTTCTAGCTCACCCAAAATGCCCACAAACTCAAAACAAATACTGAATTCTAGGTGACGATAGGCATATTGACATGCTTAGGAGTGAAGTACACTGATGTCTATGTCTAGCTTTGAAATCTTTTAAAAATTAGATGGATGGGTGGATGGATAGAAGAATGGGAGATTGTATATACATTTGATGAAACAAACGAAGTCAAGTGTTCATTGCGGGAATTAGGCAGTAGGTAAAAATGGGTATTCACAATATGATTTTTACACTTGTCTGTTCAATTAAATATTTTTATGATAGTTGGCAAAATAAAATGAAGTGGATGTAGCTATGAGGTATTGCAACTTATTTGCAGGGAATTCTGTTGTTTATTAATTTGAAAATATCCGTACCCAGTGATCAACAAGACAGGCATGTTCCTTGCCCTTCTGTTGATCAGATTCATATTTTCCCCAGCATTTCCTGCCTCCTTCCCTTGTGCTAGTTACGGTTTATCTGTCTCTTCAGGGTTTCGTAGAAGCTCATAGTTATTACTTTAAAATATCTGATTTGTTTTCTTTTCCTGGTTACTTAATTGACTGAAAGACCTATTTCCACAATCTATATGTGTTTATAAGAGAAGGTAGGGCAGAGTTCAGTTATGGGGACTGCCATAAGCTGATTTTGAAATATTTCTGAAGTTCAGTAATTTGCTTCCTGTTTCTGCCCCTGGTGTCAGGATCTTCCCTGTTCTGGACCCAATCTCCTGCTCTGACGAGAAGGCCTCCAAAAGATTTATGTACTATTCTGTTCACCCACCCAGAAATCCCTGAAAGTCCTAAATAGACCTAAAGGCACAACCTTTTCACGAACTCAGAGACTGAAAACTTCCAGAGAAATGAGGATGATTCTTTGACCTCAGAGGGAATATACTTTGATTTCTAGAAAGTTCAAGAGGGAGAGTTCAAAGCGGACTGCTTTCAGATACTAGCTTCTTTTCTGGCCCAGTGACCAAGAACTCTCTCTCTCTGGTTACCCGGTTACCTCTGCTGCCTCATACTTCTCTGGTCCTTGTGTGGATTGGACCTGATACCCGTCACCTCTGTAGTTCATGATTTACTTTGATGCCTAACGTAGCTCATGCCACCCACTCCCCACCCCATTTCCCATTCATGAGGTGATCGAACGTAGCCTTGTCCTGCATCTGCTGCCTGCCCTCATCTGTACCTTAAGTCCTGACCTGCACCGAACACTTCTCCCCATCTGTTCATGTGACTAAGTAGCTTCTAAGGGAGGAGTTCCTCATGTTGGAATGGTCGAGACTCGGTGCGTCTGAAGGTCTTGGTGACTTTTTAATAAGACACTCTCTCCGTGAGTCTCGGTCAGCACTAGCATGTTCTCAGATTATCAGCCATTCCTCCCTTGGTCTCCACCTCCGCTGTTCATTAAATGTTGTACATTCGAAAGAATATTTGTATTCATTCTAAGGTATAATGAATAGCAATAAAATAACACCTCTCTAGCCACAACCTAGCTGGAGAACCTAGTCGTTCTTAAGGTATAAGGTATCTGGTGGCACTTTGTGATCTCTGCAATAAATCTTCAGTATTGCTGAATTCTTAGAAATACTTCAACATTGTCTTCAGATATATTTTTGTTGAGAACATTGAACACATTCAGACAGGCCATTAGTGAAGTTTTGATGTAGATCCCAGTGTTAGGTTGATTCATCTGTCAAACCTTTTAGAATTCACTCGATTACCTACCGTGCATGCCCAGTCTGTCGTTATCGCAGATTTCTGCCAAGCTTAGCCTTGGAGCCCAGGGGGGGACTTTCTGAGTTGTTTTTTTTCCCCACAGAACAACTACAGATGGAACACCGGAACTGAAGGTAGAGAGTATGAATTCAAAAGCAAAGCTGCACGCTGCTCTTTATGAGAGGAAGCTCTTGTCTTTGGAGGTGCGAAAGCGTAAGCGACGGAATGGGAAGCGGAGGGCAGCAAGGCCGAAGTACCCAGGTACGTGCTGGGGAGCTGTCACCGAGGGCCAGGATCTGGGCCCTGCCGTCTGAGTTAGTCATCCTCTTAACCCTCAGTGATCAGAAGCTCCCTGATCACATGTCCTTGCTTTTTTGTATATTCCTTTTTCTCTGAAACTGAAAGTCAAAAGGATTATAAGTTTTAAACTTTCATTCTGTAATATTTGTATTGAATATCCGAAGCACACACAGTGTGGCTTTTGCTTGTATTTCAGCATCATATAATACCTGATACTTTAGAAATAGCATTGGCTGAATTTAATAGAATTCTGAGCAGCATTGTTCAGATTTTTCATGATTAAATATTAAGTCCAGTTTACCCTTTGACATTGGTAGGTGTTGTAAATATTTTAAACATCAACAGATGAAGGCGAATTTCTTTTTCTTCCAAATTCCCCCATATATGTTTGTCACTGACTACCTGACTAACTTCCTATCTTTTCTTCCTCCCTCTATTAGTTGAGCACCTATATTAGTTACATTGGTCACTGGGGTGTCATTGCTTAATAAATATTTAGCCCTTGTTCTCACAGACCTTCCAAGGCAGTGAAGGAGAAGGATAATGAATAAACACAGTAGAGAAAGATATTCCCTTGCTCTTTGTACCTTCATGAAAAGTGCCCTTCTGAAAACCTCTAACACATTCTAGAGGTTACTAAGCTGTTTTTTGCCTTAAGTTGTGAGAGAGCCATTGGTATGATGAAGAGAAGCATCACCTATAATGAAGATGGTTACTAGGCTTTGGAATGTATAAGATCGGACAGTGACATGTGTGTGCCATTAATTCTGGGTGTTATTTGTGGTCTGATTTAGATACGGGTTTTTATTAAAAAGATAAAAGGAAGGTATTGGGAGAGAGGAAAATTTAATCCTTTTTTCAGCAACATTAGTGATTCTTCGCATTTAGTGATTACCCAACCAGCTGAAATGAATGTTAAAACTGAGACAGACAGTGAAGAGGAGGAAGAAGCTGCATTGGACAATGAAGATGAAGAACAGGAAGCTTCCCAGGAGGAGTTTGCAGGGTCCCTTGGAGAAAATCAAGCCAAATACACATCCTCATTGACCATTATGGTAGAAAATTCACCCAAAAAAAAAGCCGGGAAAGTTCCTGAATGGACTAATAAAGGTGAACAATGCTGCAAAATTGAGACTCAGGAGCCAGAACCCAAATTTAACCTGATACAGATTCTGCAAGATAATGGCAATCTTAGGTATGTACCTTTTGTAATTATAATAGTAAAATTGGTAACAGCTACCTCGTACTGTGCACCAGCCACTGCTGGTGGCTTTACAGCCATTTTCCATTTCTTATTCACTGCAGTCCTGTGAATATTTTTATTAAGGAAGCTGAATCTTAGAGAATTTATTTGTCCAAGGTGCAGAGCTGTGATACAAACCCAGGTCTCACTGGCTGGAGGAGTACTTGTTGGGGTTTAGTGTCTGTCACCAAGAGCACAGGGACACAGAGACAAGGAGCTCAAGCAGCTCATGGTTTAGTATGGGAACACCTCAAGAACGGTGGCTGTGACCCCAACATGGACAAAGTCCTGTTAGGACACAGCAAAAGAACTGATTGGTCTTGCTTCGGAAGGCTAGAGAGATGTTAGGGAGGAGACAGTATCTGAACCAGGCTTTGAATGGTGAGTAGGATTTCAGGAGGTTTGGGAGGTACCAACCAAGTGTGGGGGTGCCGGCAGAGGAAATGGACACAGGGGTGTGATAGCACAGTTATTCATTCAGTCCCCCATCAAGTGTTTATTGAGCACTTGCTCTGTGCCAGGAAGTGTGCTGGGCTGTACAGTCCTACAGGGGAGACCAAGACAGGCTCGTGGAGCTTACTCTAGCAGGCAAGACTGCCAGTAAACAGAAGCAAGGTAATTTCAGGCGGTAACAAGGTGTAAGACAGTAAGTCAGGGCACAGTGTTAGAATGTAATATTGGGCAGATGGTTTCTTTAGATTGGTGTTTGGACATGAAGAGATAACCTTCAGGGTCGGTCCTGAATAAAGAGAAGGAGGTAAGTCATGTGATTATCAGGGGGCAGAATATTCCAGACAGAACAGCAAATATAAGAGCCCTGAAACTGGACCGAGCCTGACAAGTTTGAGAAATAGATTAGGGTAGTGGAGTTATACAGAGGGGAAGGCATGGTAAGAAATGAGACTAAAACTTGAATGTCATTTGCTAATAAAGGGCTCTAAGAGGAGCCTGGGCTTTTATTTTCTAGATGGGTAATTTTTAAGCAGACGAATGATCTGGTCAGATCTTGATTTGGAAAGGAAATTGATTGCACTGTGGGATAGTGATTGGGAAGAGGACAACTGAAGGCGGAGCGGTAAGTTTAGCAGTTGTTACAGTAGTCCGGAGCCAGGAAGATGAAGTCTTTGACCAGAGTCATGGCTGCGGGAATGGGGGGAATGGGATGGACATAATGAAATTAACAAGTAAAAGTAGTCAGGGCTTGGTCTCTGTAGGTGTAAGACCTCCAAAGAGACTTTTCCAAATCTGGCAACTTCACTCAGTGTAAGGAGCTTAAGAGTTGGCTTGCTGATAGAAATACTGTCTCATTTGGGGCATAGCGAGGAGAAAGTGCTCTGGGGTGAAGATTCGCAGGAGACAGGTGAAAACAGAGCTTTGAAGGTCAGAGTGGGACAGGATCGTGTAGTTGATAGTTCAGAACTTCAGAGTGGGCGTGCTCGTTCACTTCGCTTTAGTTCAGTAAGCATCGACAAGGAAAGAAGGAAGAGAATTGAGTCCTGGGGAACACCAGTGTTTGACAGGATAAAAAGACAAGAGGCAGCAGAGAGGTGGGCATCAGACTGGGCAGGCGCAGTGCAGTGGCAGCTGCAGGAGGCTCAGCCGTAGAGCTCCTCAGCCCACTTAGGGTGCAGCGTGGAAAGAGGTGCCTGCACTCAGGACCAGGGGTGGGCGTAGTGGGCGGAAGAGAAGTTGTGAGTCACGGAAATTAAAAAGTAAGTGTGAACTAACTTTTTCAGATTTGGCAGTTGAAAGGAAGGTGAGAATACATAGGACAGAGCAGGCCAAGAGAAAGACTTTTTTCTTTTTTAAACAGGTAGGGATTCTGGAGCTTATTTATAGATCAGGGGAAGGACTTGATGGGAAGAGGGTTGGAGATGCAGAAATGGCTGTATCTGTAGAGAAGCGTCCTAAAGGCAGGTGGAAAGAGGTTCGTGGAGGTTCATCTCTTTCTGTAAGTCAGAAAACACGCCCCGTGGGATGAGGACCGTGGTTCGAAGTTACAGGGGAAGGAAGTTTAGGTGTATGGGTGTGACAGCTTTGATTTTCTCAGGTGGAGGTCGATGGAGAGTGATAGTGGGGTTTGGGCAGCGGGGACAGAGGTGCAGTTTGGAACAGTGCTGTGGAGAATGAGGACGATTTTCTTAGTAAAGAGCGCAGTGAATTTGGTTGGGAGACCTGGGCCCTGGCTTTTTAGTGCTGACCAGCTGGCCGTGACCGTGGACCCCTCAGGGAGCTTCTCCCCGCCTCAGTGTTCGTTTCCGTGAGGCCAAAGAGCGGGCTCAGACCAGTGTTTTTCAAAGTGGTGCTTTCTGGAGGGGAAAAAAGACTCCACTGAGTTGAAATAGAACTTTTCAAAACCACTGGACTATATTCTAAGGCCCTTTCCAGAAATAACATTCTGCTTAGCTGTCATGGAATAAATTATTTCTTCATAAATCTTATGGATCTCACTTTCTGTGAGTAAACTGTTGTAATTGCAGGGTGTGTTAATATAAATCAGTGGTTTTCAGACTATTCCTTGGAGTTGCCCATCGTTCTGTGGGGCATCTCAGTGGCTACTGGGATTCTGGAGAAGGTCCATGGCAAGGATCCAAGACTCCAGGCCCCAGGCCTCTTGTTGTGTATTTTGTGTGCTGAGGATTCACGTAGGCTTTTATTCTTTAAAAAATGGGGGGGGGGGGGTTTGGTGTAAATCATTGTGGTTTTCATTCTTTCATTTTGGGGGGTAGGGGGTTTTCTGTTTCACATGACCAGCTGACCAGTGTTTCTAATACCTTCTAATCCCGAGGGACAAACTCAGGATTAGCACCCCAGGGATCCTTTAACAAGGGCAGAAAACTCAGTACTTGTTCATTTGACTATCGACAGCGATTTGCAGCAAAATAATGATTGAAATCTTAACTTCCAAGCAATAATTTCCATGTCCAAAGATCTTCATGTTGTAGTATTAAAGGGCTAGTCTGTGAAACTGGGCGTTCTGCTGCATTTGGAGGTCTGACATGTGCCATTTCTAGCTCATTATATTGCAGGTGAATTCCTTGACCAGAATCGAGAGTCTTTTTTACTTATTTAGACTTGAAAGGAATTTGTTGTGGAGGTAGAGCTTATGGGACGGTTGAAGGGAAAGTGGCATATGGTCCCCAGGTGAAAGAATGTAATTGTTGTCCTTGTTGAGAAACATTTGGAAATGTGAATTTATTTTTTCAACATCGCATTGTCCTCCCGTAGGCTACCCCTATTCATAACAAAGATGCAGCCTTACTTTCATTGCATGCTCTACAGATCTTAGGTATTAAACTCCCAAAAGCAGATCTACTCTCCAGCCCAACTCCCCTCCACTCCAGTCCCTCCAACACACACATAGAAGCTAGACCTAGACCCTCCTGGGGTTTCCAGTTTACTCTGGAGGGGCCCTTCGTCCTAACCTTGGAGGGTCAGCAGGCAGAGAGCATTCAGCAATTGCATGTGTGAGAGTTGTAAACAAAGTTTGTGTTGGGCCCCGATCTTCGCTGATGTAATTTTGGCGAGAGTGTCAGAAGGCCGATCAGCTGAAGTAACCAGAACCTCTCCTGAAAGAAAACAGAGCTGCCACAATTAGCAGCTGAAGAGCACGCAGATCACCAGTGTCTCTGGCACTCCCACCTTCCACACTCTTCACATCACATTTCCCTGTTTCCTACGCAGACCGCCAGGCAGGAGTCAGGTGGGCTCTGCTGGTGTCGCCGAGGTGCTTTTCAGTACATGTGAGGGTTTCTTTTTCCCAGTGAACATCTGGGCTTGTCCTAGCCGGCCTGTGCCAGACTCTGCTGGACCTCACTCCTTTGTTCTGGGCTTCAGCCACTCCTGTCCTGTAGTTGAGAAAAGCATGACCTTAAAACTTGGTCTCAAAAGTTCCTTTGTAGGATTTATCTATTTCCTGCTTTGGAGGCCTTAGCACACCAGAAATATTAGTTGCCATAGCCGGAGCCGTACTTTTGCACTAACTGGTAAGTATGTTCTTTAAGGGCCTCCAAGGCTGAAGAACTTTTCTACATTATTACAAAGGTTCTTGCGAAGATTCAACACTTTTCCCGCCCATTCCCCCAAGAAAGTTTTTTTTTAAAGTTCAAAGAGCTATATAAGGGCAGGAAACCTAATTTTTCTGTTTTTGTTTGATTTCCTCCCATGGAAATGATGAGAAACTGAGTAAGATTCTCCATTTCTGATTTCTTCAATAGAAAACAAAATCTCATGTACCGTTGAGAAGGAATCTTTCTATACTCAGTGACTGTGTGGTTAAGGGGCTTTATTTTTCTTAGCCATCCTAATAGGAGTACCCTCAAAGGCCACTCTCAGAGAGGCAAGCACACACTCGGCAGGCTTGCCGTCCGCTCTCCTAACTGCGTGTCGTTTTGGGTTTCCGCAGCAAAGTGCAGGCCCGAACGGCGTTCTCCGCCTATCTCCAGCACGTCCAGACCCGCCTCACGAAAGACAGTGGGTGTCAGACGTTCAGTGCCAGCTGGGCTGCCAAAGAAGATGAACAGATGGTGAGGCTCTTCTTGTGGGGCTCTTTTTACTTCCCCTGTTCCTTTTTTCTATCCTTTTTTCTACATGGGTAAAGAACAATATAGTCTTCGGGTAAAGAAATGATTTCATAGTCTAGTTCACAGATTTGTCTCACTTAACGTGCAGTGAGTCTTCGTTCCGGAGCCGTGTTCATCATCCTGCATGTTGAGGGCATCAGTGCATCTTATTCCAAAAATGTGAATTGATTGCTCATTAGATGTCAGGCCCCATGGAAAGCCCTGGAAAAGAATAACAGAATCCTTTCTCAAGCACACCTAGGGTTCATTAACTCTGTGAAGGAGGCACTATTATCCCCATTTTACAGGCGAGAAAACAAAGACCTAGAAAGGGGAAGTAACCCGCCTGTTGTCCTGCAGCTTGTAAGTGGCAAAACCGGAACTTGAACTCAGGTGTTCTGATTGTCCATTATTTGCTCTTGCATTGTTTCCGAGTCATAAGGCATTTATTTTTCTGTCCCGAAGTGCGGCGTTAGCTCTGCGAAAGTCAACACTTTATCATAGGACCTCTGAGAGCGCAACGTTCTCCATTTTAACATTTTTTCTTTACTAGTTGTAACTTTATAAAATTCTTAGATTACTGGAAACAGACTTGTGTAATAATTTTTACTGTGTATCAGTCCTCTGGACATGCCTAGAATTTAATGTTCTGGCAAGACTTTTCCTTTTGGATCAGAATGACAGGCAACTTCAGTTTCTTCGGTCAGGTCGGTGCTTCGGGAAGAGACCACCACCCTTCCACGGCATTTTTAACCACGGGGGTCTGTCACCAAAAAGAGAGGGATCTTTAAGTCTGAGAGAGCTGCATCCTTTGTCCAGTTAAGTGGTGTCCCTCCTGTTGGTTCCAGCACACGGTATGCCAGGCTCGTAACGAAAACATGATGGCTGTCCCAGAAAACAGCTTGAGAATTTAAAGGAGCCAGTGCAACTCAGAGATAAAACCTTGTGTGTTGTGAATAATCCTTCAGCCATCAGTGGGAAATGTAGCTCTGCTCCTTCCGAGTGGAAAATTGAAATTGCCTTTTCAAGAGTCAGTTTGTCTGCTCCACTGTGAAAAAAATAATGTTTTAATATAACAGCTTAAACCACCCGATAGTAAAGAGAGCAGGGTAGAACTATGAAATCCAACCCTCTAGTTATGAGTCTATTTCCTTATACTGGAGTAAATTGGCACCAAAAGACAATGAACCAACATCAAATTCAAGAAGAAAAATATAGCTCAGAGGAGAATAACCACTCAACTGTTGGCTTGGAATCCACACAGGATTTCTATGGAGGTTTTTACGAGAATATTTAGGATCATCACTGCAAAACTTAATACCAGTTCTGTGCATTTATTTTGAAAATATATCTGGAGAGCACCCCCTGCCCCATTCCCTGAGGATTGTGGCAGTGGTCTTGTTTATGAGGAAGGTACGTGTAGAATTGCCTCTCTGGTCCCCATTAGGGTTAGAGGTTCTTTATCACATAACCCACAGAAAGCACATCAATAGGGTCCCAGCATCTGTCATCTTAAGCCAATTTTACTGTGTTTGACAGAGGAGGGAGGGAACAACTATATTTAAGACCTGTGGCTTTGCAAAATCTTCCTTTGAAGAGTTTATGGTGTTATGAATGACCTGATTGGTGTGTATTCAAATTTCAAAATCCTTTGTCCTGTCTCAAGTGGGATGTATCCATTCTTCCCCTTAGCGACCTCCCACTGTGCCCTGCTCGGCAGTCCTTAATTCCAAAGGCTCCCTTACCCCTGGGAAAGAAAAAAACATCACCCTTCAAGCACAGCAGCAGTACTTTCTTTCCCTTTGTCAGTACACTTTTTTTAAGTCAGTAGTTTCTACTCTTTGCCTGTGTTCTTCATTACCCACACAACTCTTAACTGCTTCTATTTTTTTCTCTATTAAAAGTATTGTATTGAAATTATCTCCTATTGCCCGGACCCAGGGCCTTATCTTGGTCATGGTCCTTTCCAGCTCTAACATCTTGGAAGCTTTGGACATGGGACCCTTTCATCCCTCAACTTCTGTGACACTATTTTCTCTTGGAGTTCTTTCTACATTTCTGATGTTTCTGCCAGGATTGTGTATGTGTGTGGGGGTGTTGTTCATGGTTTTTGTTTTTTGATTTTTCTGATTTTTCTTCCTCTTATCCATAACCATGACTATTTCTATATCCTTTCTCTGCTCTCTTACCTTTGATATTTCAACTGCTCGCATGGTTTTTGTTTCCATTTTTTATATTTGAGTGCTACTTCCCTGAATAGCTTTCTCCCATCACCCTGTTGGAAGTGAAATCTGCACTCACATTATTGTAGTACTATTCGCATACCAATCATGACAGTTTTACAGCTGTTACTTTGTTGCATAGTTACTGACTTTCTGATTGCCAGCTTACGAGGGAAGAGAATGCGTTTCTTCTGTTCCTTGTCTTCCTGTATCCTTCTTACCCCTCACCTGTTTCTTCTGAATCTTACTTGTTGAGATGCATAGTTTGCACCTTCTCACATCTCTGTTGTGTGATTTGTCTCCTGTTGCTCAGCACCATCTCCGCTTTTTTCCCCAATGGCTCTTAATCTATAGGAGCTAGTGGTTCGTTTCCTCAAGCGAGCGTCAAGTAACCTCCAGAACTCACTGAGGATGGTGCTGCCCAGTCGACAGCTGGCACTTCTGGAACGCAGAAGAATCCTGGCCCACCAACTAGGTGACTTTATCATTGTGTACAACAAGGTCGGTGGTCCCTCTGTTAGTCTTTGCTTCAGACTGTCACACATGGTCAGAACCAGGCTAGCACCTCTGTCCCCCTGGGTGCAGAGGCCCTCGTCTGACTTCTTTTCCCTTACGTCATCTAACGTCATCATCCCCTCTGCATGACTGTCACAGGGAACTGGACCCAGCTGGGCTGAAATGCCACTAAGTTGTTACTTCTGAAAGCCCCAGCGGCCACAGCTGAGTCTTACCAAAAGGCATGTTCAGCACCATGGTGCCTGAGATGGCCCCTGGGCTGCGTGTTTTCCCGCTGCTGTCGTTGCGCCTATAGTCAGTGGTGAACTGGTTACTGGAGAGCTCATTTGAACTGTAGATTTAATATAATGGCAACCTTCTTTCCTGAGAGAAGAATGTTTTGTTCTCTAGAGCATTTTAACCAGTGACATCATTTTGCAATGAAGCCCAGGAAATACACTATTTGGTTCAAGTATTTTGCAAAGCATCTTTTATCCAAGGGTCTCAGAATGGTTTAGAAATTTTTTTTTTTTGGCTTATAAAATGTATGATTTTGCAGAAGAGAAAGCCAAGGCCTGGAAATTTAAATGACTTTTTAAAAGATGCATGAAATGGTTAGTAGAACATTAGCACAACCAAATCCATAGCCACAATTTATTCCAGATCTGTCAAGAACTTTGGTGTGTCTTCTATCAGGGATGAATTTATTCACTTTGGGTGCTGGTATAGGAGATCTTTGAAAATGTGTCTTCTCCCTAATTTAACAAAATACAGTCTGTTGTCATATTGTTCAAGTTGCAAATGTGACCACAGACATTACTAAAATACTATAAAAAGCCCTTTTCTCAGTGGGCGGTGTGGGTACAAAGCAAAAACGTGATAAAAATTCTGAAACTTTTATTTGGGAATTTCACGGTGTTTAATGAAATAATGGCAGAAAACAATATATCAGATTTATAGGTGGTAGAAGTATAGGGAAGAATTAAATCTCTTTACTCCTAAGATAGTTAACCTAAGGCTGTGAAACCAGATGATGATGTATGCATGTATCAGGAGTCAGTTTTATCTTGTTTTTCTGTGGGGGTTGGGGTCTGGGTAGGAAACAGAACAAATGGCTGAAAAGAAATCAAAGAAGAAACTTGAGGAAGAAGAGGAAGATGGGGTGAACGTGGAAAATTTTCAGAAGTTCATCAAACAAGCAAGGTAGAAGACATTCTTGAAGAATAAAAACTATGTTCTCCCATCTTCCACACCGTCCCATTGAATTCCCAGTATTCCCTTGTTTCTCACATGTGGGTGTGAGTAAAATCACTCTTAGGAGGGAAAAAAAGAGTTTCTTAGGCTTGGCCTCTTCACGTCTCGGCCAGTTATGTTGCCGTTGTCATGGTTTCAGTTATCAAAACACTGCTGCTGGGCATCTGGGCTGTGTTTCTAGACGGCCTTCAAAGTACACATCACTCGAAGTGCCGAGAGTGCCCTTTGGAAAGTCGAAGTTAGAGGCTTCTAGTGTTGACTGCATCTGAACTTGTCCCTGGCCTACTGAAGCAGAGAGATGACCAAATTTTGCCTATAGTAAGTGGGTTGAGGAATTGGCCATTTCTCAGCACTGTGAGGGTTACGCCTAATTTATATAAAATAGAACGAATCCATCATGCTTAGGGTTAGCCTTTCGGGATTGAAAATTTCAGCATTTGGCTATCTTGACATAAATCAGAAGGCCATTTTGTCCATTTACAGTATGTTTCCAAAGGGAGGGGTAACAAAGGTTATTTGATTTTAAATTGGGTGTGATTTGTACTTAAAAGCCTTTGTCTAAAACAGACTTATAAAAACCACAAAAGTAAAGGAGAACCCATCCATTAATTTTTAACCATCACACTCACAGTGGGGGAGAAAAGCAGTAGAAAAGTGAACTTTTGTCATGGCTGGTGTGGCTCAGTGGAGTGGGTGCTGACCTATAAACCAAGGGTTGCCAGTTCGATTCCCAGTCTAGGGCACATGCCTGGGTTGCAGGCCAGGTCCCCAGTTGTGGGTGTGTGAGAGGAGGTTTTGACGTTTCCCTCACATGTCAATGTTTCTCTCCCTTTATTCCCCCCTTCCCTTCTCTCTAAAAATAAATAATTTCTTAACGAAGAAAAATCAATTCTTGGTTGATTTGTGAAGTTGAGTCGGGTGGTGGTTTGCCAGTCACCAACACAGTATGATCTGTGCTCAGTGCCTCGCGTAGACCAGCCGTAGCCTCAGTGTCATGTGCTTAAACACACAGCAGACGGCACATCGCTTTCCAGCGGTTTACAGTTACGTAGTCACTTCATTGACATTCCTGGGTCTCGAGCAATAGGATCGATAAAGCAGGTATAGAAACAAAGCAAGAAGGCGTTTCTCACATCAACATTATAAAAATATCTATAGAAAAGAAAAAAGACTAAATTATTCAGAAACTGGTTCTTTTATAGTAAAAAGACTACTTTCTAGTTCCTTTTAGGGATCTTAAAAATCCCTAAAATATTTTTTGAAAAGAAAAAGCAACTTTTGAAAATGTGATGTGTCTTCTCCTTCCAGGCCTAACATGGGACTAAAAATGAATTATATACACTCATAACTTGGACATAGATTTGAAGATAAAGTATATTTACTACAGGTTGTGGGGTAAATGTCGATAGTTGGGAGGAGGTGGTAGCATCTGTTCTTTTACTGCGTTTGGGGGTGCACGCATGCCTTTGTCAGGGCTGGGGAGTTTGAAGCCCTGCAGGAGTCAGGCAGGGAAACATAAAGCAGGAGGGTAAGACGGGACATACAGCAGCTTGTATTTGGACCGAACTTAGCCTTTCCCTTTAGTGTGAAGGGCCAAGTAAAACACTGACGGGCAGAGGCAGTTGCCTGTTTGCAGCCTCAGCTTTAGGCCAACGGTAGTCACTTGAGGTCCTTATCTTGTGGCACTTTGCTACTTTGGAGACCTCGGGGTTCGCCCTGAAACACACAGATGCTGTTTTCTAGGTTATCATTACAGCATGATAATGGGGTATAATGAAGATGGGGTATAGTTTCTTTGTAACAATGTAGGAATATTGTGTTCATTTTACCTGGAACATAGCCAGGAGAAATAGCTCCAGGAGAAAAAATGCAAAAAGCCACTGAGAGGCTGCTCTGGATGTTACCAAGTCCACGTGTGGTATGTGTACTAGGAGAATCTTACGGGCCTTCATCTGCCTCCTTATACTTTCCATTTTGCGGATACTCATAAAGCGCATATAATTTCAGTTCTTGAAGTGACTGAGAGACCATCTAGTTCATTCTTCTTTATGGTGCAGATGGTCAGGGAGCTCCTCCGTGGTTGCACCGGTGGGTCTCCTTTTTGCCGACATGGACAAAAGGGCAAGTGGCTCCATGAGCAGTTGTACTTCCATTACCTGGAAGTGAGGTGGGCAGACTGTAAGAAATACTCAGACTGTGGGCTGCATGTAGTCTTCATAGCATGTTCTTTCTTTATAAGGTTTTATTTATTTATTTTTAGAGAGAGGGAAAGGGAGGGAGAAAAAGAGGGAGAGAAACATCAATATGCAGTTGCCTTTGCGTGCCCCCTACTGGGGACCCAGCCTGCAACCCAGGCCTGTGCCCTGACTGGGAATCTAACCCAGTGACCCTTTGGTTTGTAGGCCAGTGGTCAATCCCCTGAGCCACACCAGCTAGGGCTTTATAGCATATTCTTTAAAAATACAAAAGCCATTCTTAGCTGGGAGCCATACAAAACCAGGCTGCTGGCCAGGTTTGGCCTGCAGTCCGCAGTGTGTTGACCCTGCCTAGAACATGGCTGACAATGGAACTTTCTGTGTTATAGCTGCTGATTACTTGGAGCGTGGCTCATGTAAGTGAGGAAAAGGGTCTTTAAATTTACTTAATTTTAATTTCTTTAAATTTTTAATAGCCACATATAACTAGTGGCTACCATACTGGACAGTGCAGATCTAGAAAATTCACTATAGAATGAATCAAGTCTGGTCATACTTTAAGTGTTTAGATCACTTTACTTCTATTGTATTTAACCATCTACTAATAGGGGGTTTCAGCTTGTGCTTTTCATTTTCCCATTCTTCAGCTTACTCCATTTCCTTAATAAAATCTGGTAGAAAGATTTTCCAGAGCAGCTTCCTGTTCTGACTATGCTTTCTCTCCTCATTTCAGTGAGGCTGAGCTGGAGGAAGTGTTGACTTTTTATACCCAAAAAAACAAGTCTGCAAGTGTCTTCCTGGGGACTCACTCAAAGACTGCTAAAAACAGCAACAATTATTCCGATAGCGGGGCAAAGGGTGGTAAGTATGTTGGTTAATTAATGAAAAATAAGAACAAGCGAAAAAATGAGATGCAGACAACAGCCAAGTAAATAACGTGCTGGCTGAGCCCTAGTAGCTTCCAAGGTGGTGGAATCTTAACCGTGTCGAGGAAGGGGACAAGGAGGCTTTACATCTTTGTACTAAAGGCAGAAGAGGGACATGGTCTGATTTTTTTTTTTTTTTAGTGATGATTAACAACAGAGAGCTTTTCAAGACAAATTAATAGCCAACATTTAGTGAGGACTTATAGTACTATCTGCTGGACATGACCTTATTTTTTTACCTCCAAAAATCACTTTGTATAGGTGCCGTTACAACATTCTTTACGGATGAGAAAACAGAAGCTGAAAGAGGCTCCCTTGCTTAGAGGCGCCCTTCGCCCTGCTGTGGGATGGGTGGGAACCTGAGCCCACCCGCCTCACATCTCCTGCTCTCCCTTCGTCCTTCTGCCTCTCCTGATGAGATTTCACTTACGTTAAACTTTTTGCTTCCTCTAGCTCCTCAGCAGTGGCATTTGGGGCAGGATGATTCTTTGTTTTGCAGGACTGTTTCATACCTAGTGGCTGTTGAATATCCTTGGTCCCGTTCCCTAAATTGTTAATTTTCTTCAGTCAGCGTGATAACCCAGAATGTTTCCACACGTTTCTGAAAGTTCTCAAGGCTGGGGACACTGCGACTGGGGATTTTGGATTGATGTAGACCAAGGTATCTAGAGTCATATATCAAAAAACAGCAGCGATAATGTGTTATAAACACAGCTCTGTGCTTTCTATGTGAGATTCATTTAAAATCTAGATGGAAGTGAAAGACATAGGTAATTAATAACCTAATTTTGTTAAGGAGCTAAACGCCAGATTCAAAGATGGAGACTTTTTCCTTCTCCTAGGGCCATCATGGTCTAATATGGAAATAGGTAGGATAATTGACTTTCTAAAATGGGAGTTTGTTTCCTCCCAAAATGGTGTTAATGTTTTGAAACTGTTTAGGTTCGGAGGCTACTCCACAAACGTGTATTTAGCTCCCTGTGTAATTGACTTTCTCCATTACTAGAAGTCCTTCTGAGTTTGGTCATCTCCTTGAGCTTTTATAACTTAGAATCTACGTCTTGAAGCTGGTTCCTTCATCTGTTGATTGGATCCTAAACATTTCTCTTCTACTGAGCACCTGTTGTGTGTCAGTCGCTGTGATAGGAAGAGGCTTTGCGTATCAGACGCTGTGTGATAGGAGGAGGCTTTGCGTGTCAGACGCTGTGATAGGAGGAGGTGTTGTGTGTTGGATGGTGTGATAGGAGGAGGAGTTGTGTGTTGGACACTGATAGGAGACATTGTGTGTCGGACTCTGTGATAGGAGGAGGTATGAAGTGAGCAGGAAGAGGATTGGGGGAGAGCTGGGGAAGGGACGTTGAGAAGTTCTTGTGGTAAGGTTGGGGTAGTGGACCCTGTGTTAACCCAGGTAGATGAGGGCCTCGGTTGGGATTCAGGATATAACTTCTTCCCTGGTAGGAATGCGGAAGCCCCAGCAGAATGAACTGGCAGCTCCTATTTGTATAAATGGGTCCTTGGAAATTCCAGGGTTCATGTGTTAAGGAGATTGGTATCTGTCTATACCTCGCAAAGGATAACTGGAGGGGCAAAAGGAACACCTCAACTGGGGAAATGACATTATGACATTTGATAGTACCCAGACTCATTTCCTACATGAGAACACAATGGCACTGTGACCAGGGCTGACAGTGACCGAGAGAAGAGAATTCCTGTGTCCTCATTCTTTCATTCTGAAAGGTCATCTGTGAAATGGTCTTTCTTAGTTTCTCTATGAGCCTAGCCCTTGAGAAAGATTATGGAATAGTCTCCTAAGTATATGATTAGTTCTGGCTGTCATTTTTCAGAATTCTGTGGTAGAAAAAAAAACCTAATTTGTTTTTTTGTTGTTGTTTTATTAGAGTAATTCTGTTGTTGAATATACTAATCAAACTATCTCAAATAAACGCACTCAGCTTACTGAAGTAAAACCAAGGAGTTTCCTTAAAGATAAGAGCTATTGAATTGTAATCTCTAGGTGTCATGACAGCAAATATTGGGGCTGTTCTTTCTACCTCTTGATAGTTGCTCTGCTCCATACACATTATGACTTCTTGGCTCCAGTGGGGACAGCCAACCAGCTTGGTCTCTTATTCCCATAGTCTGAATTATTGGCAGAGGCATTGGATTGCCCTTACTTCTTTTCTTTTCTAGGCATGTCCTAGCTTGTTGGCAGCCCATGGATGGCTGCCCTGGACTTAAATGTCTTTCCCTGGTTCAGTTAGCAGGAGCTGGGTTTGGGGATAGTTGGGAATCATTTGGGTGGATGCCCACTCAACAGGGCAGTGGGTCTGGCCATCCTCGGAAGGTGTGCTGGGTTCAGCAATGGTTCCTGCGATTGATTACTAGTTGTGTTATATTTTGGAAACAAAATTATGTGAGGTGGTACCCTAGCAGTTGATTAGTGAGACAGCATAAGATCAGTCTTTATCTTCTATTTCAGATCACCCGGAGACGATGGAAGAAGTGAAAATAAAGCAGCCCAAACTGCAACAGGCACCAGAAATTCACTCTGATAAATTATCTCGTGAGTGACTTCGAACTGTGTAGTCTTGCCGCTCACTGATAAATCCTTAAGAGAGAAAGAAAATGTCCTCAGATATTAAATGGTTCTAGAGCAGGAGACATTACCCTAAGAAGTTCTTTTTCATTGTTCTTCCTTTTCCGTGAGAATTTCTCCTTATCTCCTGATAACCTGTTTTCCTTCCAGGGAATTTCTCACTTTAATGTTTAGAAATCCTGATCCCTTTTCTAGAAGGGTGAGAAGCAGAGAGAAGAGTGTTTTCTGCCCCTACCAGCAACTTTGTCTGATGCCTTAACATTTGTAAAACTCCGGCTCTGGTCAGTGGGCTTAGTACCAACTTCAGCTTTGAAAAAGGACTAAAAATAAACTATTTCTGCTGCCAGATTGTCTCCGTAGGCAAAATTCATTAAATTTGTAATGAATACTCATTTAAAGTCTGTGTTTTTCATGATTTGTTTCTTAAGATTATTTTGATGTTTAAAAATGTTTACTTCATGCTTTATTGTGATTATATGTCAGTGTTTCTTAAAATGATGTGGTTTTTTTTTGTTTTGTTTTGTTTTTTTCATAGGATTTACCACTTCAGCAGAAAAAGAGGTTAAATTAGTCTATGCCAATTCTTCCGCTGCTGTTCTTTCCGGTCCTGCTGCCACTCTTCCCCAGAAGATTCCCAACACCCATTTGTCATCTGTTATTACAACCTCTGACCTCTCCCCAGGGCCTGGCCACCATTCTTCTTTATCTCAGATTCCTCCCGCCATCCCCAGCATGCCTCACCAGCCAGCAATTTTACTGAACAGAGTCCCTGACAGTACTGGGCCCTCCATACACTCTGGGACGCAGAACGCACCCAGTCCTGCTGGTCTGCCACGCTGTCGGTCAGGCAGTTACACCATTGGCCCCTTTTCCTCCTTCCAAAGTGCCGCGCACATCTATAGCCAGAAACTGGCTCGTCCCTCTTCAGCAAAGGCAGGTGAGTGTGAAAACGAAAGGCAGTCTGCAGCGTCAGCTCCTCCCAGCCCCAGTAAAAAGAGAATGGCATCTTTCCCTTCACCTTCTCTTTTGGAAGGTAAAGGGACACATTGCATTGTTCTTTCTTTTTTTAAGATTTTATTTCTTTTTAGAGAAGGGATAATATGGTTACTTTATAGTTCCTCTTTTTCAGGAACTTCCCAACTGTTTTCCAAAGTGATTATACTGTTTTACCACTAGCAGTATGTGAAGGTTCCCATTTTTCCACATCCTTGCCAACACTTATTATGATCTATATTTTTTGTTACCCTTCCCAAGGGATGTGAACTAGTGTCTCATTTTTGTGGTTATCATTTGCATTTCCCTAGCGATTAGTGATGTTGAGCACCTTTGCATGTGCTTATTGGTTATCTGCGTATCTTCTTTGGGTAAATGTTTATTCTGATCCTTTGCCCATTTTTAAATTAGGATATTTGTCTTTTTATTGTTGAGTTGTAAATGTTCTTTGTATACATTCTAGATACAAGTACCTTGTCAGTGACATGTTTTAGAAGGATTTTCTCCCATTCTGTTGGTTGTCTTTACATTGTCTCATGCACATTATTTGGTCATGTGGCTCTTAAGTTGGGAAATGAGTTTACAGGTGTTTATTATAATATGCTTTAGAACTTATTCATCTGTTATAAATACTATTTTGTGACACATAATAAACAGGAAGAAGTTTAGATTGTTTAAAGTCATGTCATCAAGTTGAACATACAGAATGATTGCAGTTATAGCAGCATTAATAAGACAGGAAGGAAACACATTATAGTGTTTCCTCTTTCTTGGATTTTTTTAAGTGTTTTCAATAAAATGACTTTTAGCACAGAAAAAATACGAACCTTGATTTTATGTCAAACAATTTCTGTTTTGCTAGAATTTCAGTGCTCAAAAACCATGGAACTCTGATATCAGAGCTTCGGTAGAAGGGTTGTGGGTGATTTGACAGTGGGTGCCTCAGACTGCTGAGAAGTACAGTCACAGCCAAGGAGAACGGGAGTTTTGATGAGTTTCAAGGCTACGTCATTGTTCAATTAGTAGATTCTAGGGTTGGTTATTTTCCACTACACAGGATGAAATTTGTGTGTGTGTGTGAAGCTCTCATAGTAAGAAAAACACGTTAATAAATGCATGTAACAATTTGGCAGTAGGAAGAGTTTTTAGGCTATAGTAAGAATTTCTTTTTATTTTTGTTAACATTGGAAGATAGTTTGTTGTTCTTTATGTTATCAGAGATCCTAGGATTCAATAAAGTAATCTGGCTGAGATTTCTCTGTCATCATGCTAAGTTTTTCCAGACTTTTTTTTTTAATGTGAGAGAAAACTTTTCTCTTTCTTTCTTTTTTTTTTTTTTTTTAGCAGGTTCAGGTCATCCAAACAAGCAGCATGCAGGAGTAGCCAAAATGCAGAAGGAAGGAGAAGATGTTTCGTACAGCAGGCGGTACAACCAGAGTATGGTGACGGCCGAGCTCCAGCGGCTGGCGGAGAAGCAGGCGGCGAGGCAGTACGCGCCCTCCACTCATATCAGTCTCCTCACCCAGCAGGTACGGACAGCTCGGGTGCCAGCGGGCCCTGCAGGCCCAAGACAGATCAGCAACAGGGTGCTCTGGCCTTTCTTCCCCGTCTCTGCTAATTTCCATGTACTATCGCCTGTTGAATGAGTATCGTAGCTGGTTTCCAGCCAAAGAATGAAAGTGCTCCTCTTCAGCTCGAGAGATGAGTTTCTGTTACAGGTCTTACAAAGTTAAGTCTGCTGTGGACTCCGATGTACTTATTTCGTGGATGAATGGCCTTGAATGATCAGCTATAAACGTATTTTTAAAGGATCTTTAACAATAACTTCTTTTCCTGGTAAAATTTTCTAGTGAATTCTAGTCTTATAAAATTCTTACCAGAATGCCATAGGATTACCTTTTACTTTTCTTTCTCTCTCTTTTCTTTTTTACTGTACTGTCTTTTACCTCATGATCTCAGGATGTTGTATGGATGAAGCATTTCAGCACAACCTTATCCAGCATATGTCATTCTCCCCTTTTACAGATGGGGAAAACTGACGCTGAAAGAAATGACCTAATAAGGTCATCTGGCAAGCTGGATTTTAGCTTTGAGTTAGATAAATGATAACAAGTTTACAACACAGTGAGGTTAGATGAAACTTTCAAAAACTTTGGGGTTCTTCTGCCCTTCTCGCTGATGATCCCCGTGGTATTTAACTGGAAGCAGAAGCCATATCTTCTCCTTTTCCTTAAAGCAAAATGGCATCGAAGTCTTTCAAAGAAGTGATTATAACTTAACCCCATGGTTATGTTCGCCTTATCTCTTGTGTCAAATGCCTTACAGGGTGACAACTCTGTAATGATACTAAGTATAGAAAAAAGTGAAGTTGAAAATTACTTTAAGGACATACTCAGTGCAGGCAACACACTGCTCCCTGGTGGTGCCCTACTTCTCTGTATGGAATTTAGGGCCAAAAGTGAAGGAGAGCCTTAGCTTTCTCACCCCAGTGTGGGAGAATGTAATTTTCTTTTTCAAATCCCAAATAGTTTGAAGGGAGTAGGTGAGGAGGCCTATGTGAAACAGGAAGCAGAGAATCCTTTGAGGGCAGTGTTGAGAACTGAAGGGAGTTGGATAGTTAAATGTTAGTGATGGGATGATGGGAAGAGGGAGTAGAATATCATCACCGTAATAGAATGGCGAGGCATTTTGAAATGTCAGAGGGGTATGGGGAAGGGAGAAGGGTCCGTGATCTGCTCCACTTTTTTCATTGGGTAATTGACTGGACTATGGATCCAGTTTATAAATGAGAAGCTAGAAGTACCAGGACATTAAAACTTTTTTTTTTGCAACCGCAGAAAAAAGCATAGCTAATATTGGTATTTATATACTTTCAACTTCTGTTGCTCAACGGGTTGCAGACCTTGCAAAATGACAGGATCCTGATCTTGTGGGAATCTAAACTGATTGTATTCGAACTGGAAAGTCATCTCTCATCCGTCCTTCTGTCTCATCTAAGAAGGACTTCAGTGCCAGTGAGTTAAAAGTCCATCAGACTCCTCTTCATGGGGATCTGAACTTGCCGTTAGATGTCAGGCTTAACTTTTAGAGGCTTGGTGATAGGGTGGCCAGGGCTCAGCACAGTGCTGAGGGAGGTGCGGTAGTGCATAATAAGCTGGGCGGAGTGGTGGGAGTTGAGTGGAATTAGCCATCTGCAGACCCGCCTTCTGTCACTGACTATCTGTGTGATTGGAAAACTCAATTCAGCTTATCTCAGCCTCAGGGTCTTTACTTGTTGTCAGAGGGAAAAACTAAAACAGCATCATGGTGTAAACAGTGTGTAAAAACCTCTTTGTAAAGTCTAAGTGCCATACAGAGTGGGACCTCAGTACTTATCGTTAATTTGTTCTGGAGCTTACGACGAATACGGATGGTGACGAATTTCCTTTTGTGAGGGTGGTGTCGTGACTCGTACAAGTTCTAGCAAGTGTGACAAGTCATGCGCAAGCACTGAGTGCTGAGACATTTTTTCTCTTCAAAATGCTACGAGTACAGGGTTTGATGAGTTCTGAAGCCGATGAGTACCGAGGTGTGACTACACTTGGAAATATTGTTACTTTGGCCTTTAAAAGGCTTTCGATAATACATAAGTGATTTCTAATTGAATTAGAAAAAGTAAGTTTTGGCATAAAATTTAATGTTACCAAAATGAACTTGGTTATTGAAAAGCTCACTTATATGTTATTAGGTCCCTTCTCAGAACAAGTAATTCTTTAATTTGGAATTTGGAAAATTTGGCCTTTTGTTGCTTATTTTCTGACAATTAATGACATGTTATAATGGCTTAAATAGGCTTTGGCACATATGTTTACCAGCTGTTTCCTTTTTTTCCTATCTGTATTATGAACAAAAGTTTCTTACTCATGGAGGCAAGCGATGTAGTGTCCACGGCTCTCCAGTGAGGGGAGGGCATCCGAACAGGAAGTGGTAGGAGCTCTGCTTTTCTCTCTGCAGTTGGGGCGTGAAAGCGTCAGATCAGCCTCATTAGAAACGACTTTGTGTCTGGCAGTCGCTTTAAATGCTTTCGATTTCCCCTTATCTGAGATTATTTCATCATTTTCAATTCCTGGTTTGTGTTTACGTTTTTCTCCCTTTTTTCCTCCCATGTATCTGATTGTCTTAATGAATATTTTTTCCCCCTCCCTTTCTTTGATAAGATAATTTTGGATATATATATTCATTCTATTGGTTTGTTGTTTTCTAGTTGGTTTTTTCTTGTTTTATCCTTCTTTCTTCTGCTTTTTTTAGCTTTATTTTATTTCTTCCCCGTTTCTTGAGTTGGATACTTATTTATTCTTATTTATCCTTGTTTTTTATTATATTTAAAGCTATAAACATTCCTCTGAACATTGCTTTAATTCAATCACACAAACTGATATATTTTTACATTCCTTTCTTGAGCAACTGCTAAATGACCATCTACTAAATAAGGAAAGCTGATTTTAAATTCTGCTATTTTAGAAGATAAGTATTAAAAATAGAAATAGTATTTTCTGGAAAATCATCTTGTCCACAATTTCAACTACTTAGCCCATTAAAGTTTTTAGTGGCATTTTTTTATGAAAACTCTTTATTCAGATGTGTTTTTTCAGATACATTCAGATGTGAATGTATTCATTCAAAAAACATTTTATTAAGCTCTCGAGTGTTCCAGGCATGAGTACTGAACTGTGCGGATGATAGAAGACAGAGTCCTCAGCACGAATCACTCAGGGTCTCACGGCAGGCGGTGCGGGGGAGGGTAGGGAGTTGGCGAGGAGCAGCCCGGATGGAAGTCGAACAAGAAGACGAGGGCTGGTTGGTGGGGCGCTTTGCACACCTTGTGCCGGAGCCCACTCCTCATCCCAGGTGATGGGGACCCCCAGGTGACAGGGTAGCTGGGAGGAGGCTGGGTTGGAGGATGAGGCAGCATCACCCCTTTTTCTCTCTGCTCACTGGTGAAGATGTAGAGGGACAGTGAGCTGGCCAAAAGTAAGGAAGCAAAGTTCCCTGACAACACAAACATTTAGTAAAACTTTGAGTTACCTAGAATTTACATTAAATTATGAATTCTTATGAATTTATATGGCTAAAAACAACCTCATGTACCTTGTCATTACTTCGACAACTGCTGCTGTGACTGAACTTTGTGTATAGCCTAGAACGCATAAGAATATGAAACTTTCCCAACCACGGTGGCCAGCACAAATAGGCTTGAGATAAGAAGAGCTACATGTTTTTAATGTCCACTATTCAAAAAATACCTTACGAATCTGAGCAGGGGGCAGGCTGCATTTTGATCTTTCCCTTGTCATGTGAGAGGCTGGTTATTTTGGGGGAGTGGGATCCTCTGGACACTAGCGTGTGCATCCTTGAAAGCAGGGTTTTCCAGAAGCATCTGTCACGTGTGGTGGGGGCAGCGCTGTCGTAGCTGACAGGGTGCTGGGGTGGAGCTTCATGAACTGTGAGGTCTCACTGTCTCCACCTGGCTCTGCTCTGGGACTTTTACCACCGCAGCACTACACCGATGTAGCCGCCTGTGGTCATTGTGCAAGAGAACGCAAGAATGTGGCGAATTCATTCACCCGGCTCTGTGGTGAGGAGTGGGAGGCAGGGACTCAGAGGGGAGCAGTGACCCTCTCTGTGCAGGCAAGAGGGAGATTTCAGGACCCAGCTATCATTAGGAGCAGCTCCAGCTCCTCCAGCCTGGGAGTTTAATCAAAGGGATAACAGTGGACCACCCAGGCGAGGGCTCCAGCGCCAATGAATGCACTCCATCAGGCTCTGTGCCCCAGCCAGCCAGTGCCCTGGATGTGGCCAGGCCTCCTGCAAATGTGCCGGCAGACACAGAGGAGGGAGGAGACACTTCGCTTCTCACATTTTTCATTTAGATGGAGAGCAGAAAAGAAAACCATTTAATTTCTTTCATTTTTTTGCTCCTTACCCTGATCCTTTGCTGCCTCGTCCTAGAGAAGGATTATATGCTTAGGTACAGAATGTTTGGTTCATACCAGTTACCCATTCACTCTCACTCATTCATATGAATTCAAAGAATTCACAAAGGAATTTTTTCATTTCTTCTGCTGTAGCAGCCACCATTGTAGTCTTCCTGAGTTCTTCATGGTCCACAGTAGACCTTGAGTGAGTCTCAACGTCAACAATTCCAGTTTGAAAGTGAAGTTGGCAGGGAAGGAGCTCCATTTTTGACCTGGTTGCACGTGTTCTTTAGGATTGAGGCAGACGGTACTCATTTTGCGTCGCGAGTGTGGGCTCTTGGCCCTGGAGACTTTCTTCCTGCCTCTTTAGCTGATCTGCACACATTTGAACTCCTTGCATTCTGATTTGTGGTGGTTTTCTAAGTCTAACTCCTTTGGTTCTATATGTTTTTCTGGGTATTTCTTTGTATTGTATACAATACACTATTCTTCATTCCTAGGAACAGGAAGGGTAAGTGGGAAAAGCAGAAGTTCTTGAGTCAGCATGACCTTGGACAGGTTACTTAACATTGTGC